CAAACTTCCTCACTTCCCGGCTCTGCAAGTGCCGATTCCCTGAGGTGGCTACACTCCTCCTGCCATCCTTATCCGCCTCCCCACCCAGCCATCCCTTTTCTGAGCTTTCCCTGGAAAGCTTTTCAACCTTCAGGTTTTCTCTGATCGACCCTGGCGGAGTTAGAATCCCCCTCTGGGAGTCCCCAATACCCAGTGTTACTCTTACAGCTGTGTCTCCTATGGTGTGACAATGCCTAACACCTAGTCGCAACTCAAATATTTGTTGAATTAATGATGGCCAACCCCTCTCCTTTTTCCATAGTCCTAGGTGCATAAGTCAATGGAGGAATGTCAGTGGTAAATTGGAAGAGCAGTAGAGTCCAGTATGGCCCTGGCCGGTTTGGCTCAGTGGATGGAGCGTCAGCCTGTGGACTGAAGGGTCCCAGGTTTGATTCTGGCCAAGGGCACATGCCTGGGTTGCGGACTCGATCCCCAGTCGGGAGGCGTGCAGGAGGCAGCCGATCAATGATTCTCTCTCATCATTGATGTTTCTCTCTCTCTCTATCCCTCTCCTTTCCTCTCTAAATCAATAAAAATATATTTTAAAAAAAAGTCCAGTGTGACTGGAACGGAGTTGAATTGGGTGGGTAGAGGGAGACTTGGTGAGAAAGGGTAAAGGTGGGATAGGGTCTATGAGCAGCTGAAGGAGCTAATGTAGGCGCCGTGTCCACTAGATGGCGCAAGGCATCCTCAGAACTACAACTCCCAGCGACCCTCGAAGTAAGCGGCCCTTCCGAAGCAAACAGTGAGGTCCAGCGGCCGCTGGGACTTGTAGTTCTCATGGGGACTCTCCGTGGGACGGGAGAACACATTCTTAAGTCCTAAGAAGTGTGGGGCTGGGTCCTTTCTGCCGTCCCCTGTCTCCATGGTGATAGTTCCGGCGAATGCACGGGATTTGGCAGCGGCTGGGCCCTCTTCCCACTCCCTCCTCCTCACCATCTGCTCCACCTTCGCACCTGGCCCGGAGCCCCGGCCGCCGCCTCCGCACCCGGGCCGAGGATTCTGCTGCCACAGGGTGGCGCGTGTGGACGGCTCCGCGGGCTACTGACTCCTCCCTGGCCCAGGAGTCCAGCCCCCAGCCCCCTCCTCCCCGGGGGCCCGGGGGTTTTCAAACACAGGCAACACTGTGAGACCCAGACCCCCATGGAGAGGCCGCGGCGGGCAGTGGCTGCGGGACACCGGGTCCGTGGCGCCGTCCGCCACGCCGGCTGTTCCCCCCACCCCTCGGCGGGCCTGCGCCACATCATGAAAATTTAATCCCGAATGCATTTGCGGCCCGAGGCAGAGAGGCGGTGGTGAAGGAAGCACCCTCCTGGGGCCTGGAGCTGGAGATGGCCTCAGCGTCGGGGCGAGGGGCCGGGCGCACAGACCAAAAGTCCGGGTTCAACCCTAAGGGGCGGGGCTGGACGCAGGGGGTGGAGTCAGAATGGAAGGGGCGGGGCAGATCCCAGGGGGAAGGGCCTGAACTCAGGGGGCGGAGACCGAACTGAGAGTTGGACAGATTCCAAAGTGGGGACTAAATTATTGGGGGCGAAACTGGCGACGGCCGGAGGGGGGCAGTATCACAGTCGGGGATGGGACTCAGCGGGGCAGGAAACTGGAGGTCAAGGACCTGGGAGCCGGGTGCGTGCAAAGGAAAAACCAACAGGAGGGGAATGGAATTCCAAAGAGGGATGATGGGAACATGTGGATGGACGTCAAAGGGGAAGAAGCTGGATGGGGAAGAATAGAGGGGACAAGGCGTGAATGGAGATGGGGGTTGGAATTCGGGGGAAAGAATTCCCTGCAGGAGAAGAGAACCTTTTGAATGAGGGTGTTGGAACCGGGGGCGATGATACAGGATGGGGGTGGAATCCGGGGGGCGAGATGTGCACCTGGAGGGTGCAGAATCTAGGAGGGAGAAGACTGAGGATGAAACGCGGAAGGAGACTCCAGCAAGATGGCCCTGAAAGGGAGGAAAATGCGGGGATGAGATGAAAGGCAGGGGAGTGGGGCGGGGGACACGTCTCAGGGAAGCGCTACAAGGAGCCAGGGGCGGGGATGGGATGAGGGA